TCTGTATTTGGGGTAAAAATGGGAGTTCATAACCCACTTGAATCTAATGTATGAAATATGATATGTCAAGAGCTTTGTAATGTTTTGAACAACCAATTAAAAAAAAAACCAAATGTTTTCTCTGCTATAAGAAGGCTGATTCATAGAAGGGTAGGGAGGGGGAGCATGGGAGGAATAGATGAACTCTAGATAGGACAAAGGGGTGGGAGGGGAAATGAGGGGGCAGGGGGTTAGAAATGATGGTGGAATGTGATGGACATCATTATCCAAAGTACATGTATAAAGACACAAATTGGTGTGAATAGACTTTGTATACAATCAGAGATGAAAAATTGTGCTCTATATGTGTAGTAAGAATTGTAATACATTCTATGTCATATATAAATAAAAAACTTAAAAAAATTTTTAAAAACAAAGAAAAGTCACCATAAGCAATAAGATGTTTTAAAAAAAATTGTAACTTATTACCCATGAAAGGCTTATCTTCCTACTATAAAAGAGTGCCTTATAAATTCAGACTAACAGAATAGAAAAATCTTATGAGAAATTGTTCTCCAGTTATTCACATACACAAAATTCTAGAAGTTTGATAACATCACATGAAAAATAAACATTCTCACATATTTCTGATTAAAGTATAAATTACTACAACTTTTATGTAGGACATTTTGGCATTATCAAAATTATTAATGATTACTCCTTTGGCTAAGGATTCTACTTCTGTGCATATACTTGTGATATTACTATCACAAGGTTATACATTAAAGAAGCTTTTTTATTTGTTCTAATTACCTTTTTAATATATTTTTTAAATTGTAGTTGGACACAATACCTTTCTTTATTTTTTTAATGTGGTGCTGAAAATTTAACCCAGTGCCTGGCACATGCTGGGTGAGCACTCTACCGTTGAGTCCCTGTTCTAATTACTTATACATGACAGTAGAATGCATTTTGACGCATCATACATAAATAAAGTTTAATTCCTCATTCTTCTGGTTGTACATGATGTAGAGTTTTACACTGGTTGTGTAATCATATATGCACATAATTAATAATGAATCTATTAATTATCATAATTATCATTATGATAATTATCATTCCTATCCCCATACTTCCTCCCCTCTGTTCACTCCCCTCTAATACACAGTATCTCTATTCTTCTCTAGCCCCCCTCCTTATTATGAATTAGCATCTGCATATTGGAGAAAACATTCAGCCTTTGGTTCTTTTTTTTTTTTTTTTTAACTTTTTTTAAATTGTAAATGGACACAATATCTTTATTTTATTTATTTTTATGTGGTGCTGAAGATTGAACCCAGTAACTCACACGTACAAGGCAAACTCTCTACTGAACTACAACCCCAACCCCCAGCCTTTGGTTTTTTGGGATTGGCTTATTTGCTTAGCATGATATTCTCCAACTCCATCCATTTACTGGCAAGAAATAAGTGGGGGTTTGGGAGATAGCAGACACAATGTATCTGTAATATACTACAAGCAAAATTTCAAACTAATTTCAAATATTTTTACCTAATCTGAGACAAAATAGTTACATTTACTACTGATTATATATCTCTTTAGTGAGACATTTTCTAAAACTGCATGTTGTACTAGACATTTAGAATTAATTACACTTCAGGTTGGAGATGTAGCTCAGTGATCCAGCACATGCCTAGCACGTGTGAGGATCTGGGTTCAGTTCCCACAAGAAAGTAATTCAGCTTGGTTGGAATTCATTATTTCGAGAAACTTGCAAAATTATTTTAATCATATACTTGACTTTTCTTAGTCAATGTCGACTTGCTGTGTCTAACTCTGTCATTATACTTCAGCTTCATTTTGCTTAGAAACAAGTGAGAACATTCACTGATCAAAGAGCCAACCTTGTCACTAGAGTATTTTAATCAGTCTGAAGCTTTTATAAGCACTTCACCATTTTAAAGTTTTTTAATGTTTAAGTTACATCTTCATCACGTGCATAAAGTTTGACTGAAGTTAATTGACCATCTGCATTTTTTAAAAATCTATTTTCCTCATTCTAGAGTGGATATAAAATCCTTCTTTTATCCTAAGGTTAAAAATCTTTCCTTCAAACTCTAAGATACTGTGTTCAATATATGAAAGGATATTTTCTTGCCCATATAAGATTCACATCACACTGCATAGTTTGTTTCCAGATTATATTTGACCCTTTACATTTAAATACAAGCACTTTTTTATTGGCATGATTAAGATTTTATTCCAGTTCATCTCAAACACAATTTAAACTTCAAGAACTGTTTTCAAAGCTGGATGCAAACTGAATATAGTGATGCATGCCTATAATGCCACCAGCATGGGAGGCTGAAGCAGGAGGATCTTGAGTTTGAGGCCAGACTTAGCACCTTGGCAAGATCCTAAGAAACAGAGAGACCTTGTCTCAAAGTAAAAAATAAAAGGGCTGCGGATGTGGCTCAGTGGTGAAGTGCCCTTGGATTCAAGCCCCTTTGTATCCCCACACATATGCACACACTCACTTCTCTACCCTATTTGTTATATACCCTCAACTCACCCAATAAATATCATAATTATTAAATAATTAATTGTATATTATTTCTGTTTATCTCCCTGATAGAATGCAAGGACAGACATCAAATCTCTCCCCTTCAGCCCAGCGTATTCCCCGTGCCCAAGTAAGCATAACAAGGGCCCTGTACACAGTGGATTCCTAATATCTATTTGCTGAACAAATGAATTGCATTTATTTCTTTCCAAGATCTTTTCCCCTGTTAGAATTACTCGTTCCTAGAGGTGACTGTTTCCAAAGGGTTGGTTAAAAAAGGTAACACAGTGTGGAACCAAATTTTATAACCAATTCATTTATCGTTAATGAAGCACTCACATACAAAACGAATATGGACAGGCCCAGTAAGTCAGTACCATTAAAGAAATAGAACTTGGATGGTTACATTGAAAGTAAAAAAACACCAAACTATATTTTTCACAAAATCATTCAGACAATTCTTGATACAAAATATATTGCATCAAATATGCACCAAAACCAGACTTTTTGAGCTTTATCAAGACTCTCAACTAGAGCAAGGAGTAGCTAGCTACCCATCTCCAAGGTGGGCTACTTAGAAAAGACAGTGTACCTCCATTTGATAGCCCAGTATCTGCAGAAAGACCAGCAGAACTGTACTAGGGTTGGATACTAAAAATATTTACAGTATATACAAGCAGAAAGTCTATCTTCCATTCAAAACTACTGAATTTTCTTTGAATTGGCATAATGGTAACTTCCTTAACCTGATAAGATAACAGATTTTTTAAAATGTAATCATCTATTTATTTTATGGTTTGCACAAGATGTACCTTTAATACATCCAGATTTTCATAACCCGTCAAACAGTTTTTCAGTATGTGTTATGGCAGGATATTCTAGAACTGCCAAGAAAAGTAAATTCACAGAGCTGCCTGCGATTCACTAACTATAACAAATTAGCATAAGCAGCCCCATTTTAGAAGGAACGACTTTTACAAGTTACACAGGAAAAATAAAGTGGTTTTGCAGTTATATCATTAAAAACTGTCCATGCAGGATATGGTTTCATTGTGAAAATTAAATACGGCCCAGATAATTCAACCAAACTCGTCTATTTGAGGTGAAACTCCTTAATGAAGCATTTGGTTATGATTGCAAGACTAACTAGGAAAACTAGCTAACAAGTACCTATTTTTACGGAGGTTTTTTCTACTTAAAAAATGCATATCAAATAAAACCTCTCAACACTTGTCAGCTCTCCTGTGAACATACCATATAAATGGACTGGCACCGGCTGCCAGGAAAAACGAAAGGCCAAATTACTCTCTTCCACCCATGCTGTGAAGTTCAGAGAGAAATCTGTCCTAGACCCACACCGTCCAGAGAGCATACAATGAGCCTTTCAGCAAGAACCAAAGAATGGAGAAAATTCTTCAGATTTCTCTCCACAACAGCAAAGATCTTATTTTGTTAGTCACTGTCACAATTTAAAAGGCCTCTGGCTGGTGGTTCACGGCAGAAAGCCAAGGTGAGTGTTTTCATATATTGAATTTGCTTAAACACCATTAATATCAGCCCAAACTCTAAAAGGCATGGAAAATGGTCGCCGCAGGCTTACCTGTGCCCCGGCTTGCCAGTGTAACTCGAAGGAGGTATCATCACCATCTGGAACAAATGAATAACAGAAATCAATGATGAGTCTGTTTTTTGTAAGCTATTCCGATCAACATGAAACCAGTCATAACCACTGGACAAAGATTACCTTTACTACCAAATTTTCCAAGTGCAGAAGCTTAGCATTCAGAAGCTCCCGTGTACCCATGCCTGTCACGCCAACAGGTTCAGAAAGGTGCAAGGACTGGGATTATAAACCCACTTAATGAGGGGCAGGAGAGACTCGGGCAAGAAAAGCTCAGGGAGAGGTGGGATGCAAACTCAACAAGATTTAAAAAGGAATCAGGAGGCTAGTTATTGCCACCTGACTCTCATTTGTCTGTGAGCCTCCAGAACTCAATTTGTTCTCTCCAGTTTCAAAAAGTCAGGCTCATCCTTCACCCTCCTACATAGTCCCCACAAAGTACTTTCCTGCTGGGGGTTCCTACTGTAGTAAAAAAAATGTTGAAACCCCTGCTAGAAATCTGGGAGGTCCCAGATAGGCCCCCTTTCAATCCATGGCCTACTTCTGCAGAACCACCTTTTAAATGACTTCCAAGTGTTTCCAGTTTTCTCTGTCTTTATAATGGCTACCTAATTCAGGCTACTCTGGTCTCTTAATTGAATTTTAACAAAAACCTCCTAAAATTCTTTTTACCCCCCAGACATACCCACTTCCAATCCATTCGTTTTTAAAAACCAACACCCATTCCCCCACTGATAACACCATTCCAAAATTAACACCTAACTTCACAGCCATAATGGTTTTCTCATCTTCTAAAGCTTGGGGTTAGGTGGGGAGGCACAGCTAGGGATAGAACTCAAGGCCTCTTGCTTGCTAGCAAGGGCTCTATTGCTGAGACAATTTACCAGCCTCCTCCACCCCACATCCTGCTTTTATTTATTTATTTATTTATTTTGTATCTAAGATTAAACCCAAGGTTGCTTAACCACGGAGTCACATCCCTAACCCTTTTAATATTTTATTTAGAGACAGGTTCTCACTAAGTTGCTGAGGGCCTTGCTAAATTGCTGAGGCTGACTTTGAACTCGTGATCCTCCTGCCTCAGCCTCTCGAGCCACTGGGATTACAGGTGTGCGCTACCATGCCCTGCCCACTTCTTATTTTGATCTCAGTTTGCCTCCCTAATTTCATATTAAGGTCTTCTGTACCCAAACACCAAAATGCTGTCCTGTTTGGTTGTCTGAGAGCATGTCCTGGATGTAAACTTGAGAGTGTTGTCTGTATTCTTTTCCCTCTGCCAGGAACACCTTTCTCTCCATTGGCTCCCACCCCCTCATCCTTTTTTCCTCAGTATGGAAATGCCTACCTTCCAAAGTCTTCCCCTCAGCCCTGGTGTCAGGCAGCATCTGTGACACCCTAGGTATACCGGCTGAGAGTGGCTGGTGACTCTAGTGGACAGCAAGCTCTTGTGTGCTAGGCTCTGGGCTCACCACTGAGGGGCCTGGTTCTGCAAACAGCTAAGTGCACAATATAAGCAAGGTACCCAGAACAGCGTCTGACTGATACCAGCACGTGCATGACCAAGTGAGGTTTTCCAGCTGATTCAACTTATTATCATAGAATAGGGGCATTCCGAACAACACACCAGCTTATGTGAATCACCTGAGCCACTTGTCAAAACAACAGTCTATCTCTGAAAGAGACACATAAGCAACTGGTGAAGTGTTTAAATCTGCACAGGAGAACTGGCTATTAGATCAGAAGTCAACTTGTTTTTTTGGTATATATCTTTTTAATTTGCCTTAAAAATACATAAATATTTCCCCTATATATATTATATATCCATATGTTGCTGAAGGAATGCATAAGTAAAAAACTAGTTAACACTGATCACTTCTAGGAAGGTAAATTAAGATGTTAGAAGGATGAAGTAGAAAAAGAGACTTTTTTTAGTGACACTCTTTTATACCTTGTAGAATTTCCTATCATGTTGGGGATTGGTGTTTGTTTGTTTATTTTTCTGGTACCAGGGATTGAACCCAGGGGAACTTCTCAGCCACATACCCAGCCCTTGATTATTAATTGATTTTTTAAAAATTTCTTTAGTTGTTTATGGACACAATACCTTTGTTTTTATTTATTTATTTTTATGTGATGCTGAGGATCGAACCCAGTGCCTCACACATGCTAGGCAAGTGCTTTACCACTGAGCCACAACCCCAGCCCCATTAATTGATTTTTATTTTGAGTCAGGGTCTCACTAAGTTGCTTAGAGCCTCACTCATTTCCTAAGGCTGGCTCTGAACTCACAATCCTCCTGCGTCAGCCTCCTGAGTCATTGGAATTACAGGCATGTGCCACCACAACCAGCCCTTCTCAGTCTTGTATGCACAAAAATTTTGGTGGTAGTCTCGCAGAAGGCCCCCAGTGATTCCCATCCTATGTCGTCCATTCTCACAGTGAATAGAGCTGACGCCTATCACCAACAGGATATTGTGGAAATGATAGAGTATGATTTCAGCACTTGTTATAAAAGCTACCATGGCTTCTGCCCTGTTCTCTGTTGGACTGATCACTCTGGAGAATACTGTAAGGAGAGTGTTGTGAAGACACTGTAAGCAACTGATCTCTCCTACCAATAGCCAGCAGTGCCTTGCTGGTTAAGTGCATAAACCATCTTGAAAATGGACCCTCTGGCCCCAGTTTGACCTTCTGAGGATTGCAGGCTGAGTAGCCAACCTCATGAGAGACCCGGACACAGAACTACCCTGCTAAGCCACTCCTCGAGTCCAGGCCCATTGAAACTGTATGAAGTAGTCAGTGTTTCTTGTTTTAAACTGCTCTATTTTGGGGTGAGGCAATCAGTTCTCTGTGATCTTTTTTTGTAGTGATGAAGGGCCCTACACTTATCTACTGTAGCCCCAAACCTGACATTCTCCATGCCTCTCTCTGACATTTCCTTAGACACAGAAGGCAGGGGGGCTGTCAAAGCCCTTTAGCTTCTGGTGTGGGATCTGTTAGTTATACTCTGCTGCATTCTGGATCCTGACCTGAAAATGTTCTTGATTTTGACAGAGAAGATGTGCCTCAGATTCTCATCTGGAAAATTATCACCAGTATCAGAAAGAGTATTCCCCATGTAAAATTACCTTCCAAGTCTTAGGAAACCCAAGTCCTAGGAAAGAAAGCAGCCCTGTCTCTGTCCTTGTGTCATCTAGAGAGTCAGGAGGGCAGGAGTCATGCAAAGCATCAGTAAGGAATGATCAGCCAAAGTCTTAGAACAAAGACTTGTGCAGACCGTGTCCCCTTTTCTGCCAGCATCTGATAGTTATGCCACTTAGCTTCTATTCAAGGGGACACTTGATTATTTGAAAAACCAAATTCCTAAACTCACTTGTGCTATTCTGCTTGCAGATGAAAGCAAAAGTCCATTTGTGAAACATCAAACAGAATTAGGAAAATGTGGGATGTGTGTTGCTTGGTGTTGCCTAGCAATATGTTTAGGGCACAGGAATCACAGAGAGGATGAAATTTACACCCACAAGGAAATCACATTATTCATAAACACACACACATGCTGACAGCTCTGGAAGAATGTTATCAACTCTAAGAACAGAATTATTGTCGAAAGTAGAATGCTCTTCAAAGCAATGTAGAATAAACATTCTAGGTGATTGATTATTTATGTCTCAGTATCTGACTGTATCTGTCACTCAAAGGCAAAAACATGCCCATAAGTGTACACCAACCCTTGTAGACTTGAACCTCATCAATATAAGTGAAACTCAAGTTAAAACTATAGGAGGAAGTATTTCATATATACTTTTTTAATATTTATTTTTTAGTTATAGGTAGACACAATATATTTATTTTATTTTTATGTGGTGCTGAGGATTGAACCCAGTGCCTCATGTATGGTAGGCGAGAGTTCATTCTATCTCTGAGCCACAACCCCAGCCCCTAGTATATAAATACTTTAACACCCTTTGTTCCTCTTTATTTTAAACTGTTTGCCATTGAGTGTAATTTTCTTTTCTTCTTCTTTGCTGCTGGGATTGAATTTAGGTCATCCTGCACACTAAGCACACTTCTACCACTGGGCTACATCCCAGTCCACCTATAATGTTCCTAAGAGCTCACTCAGCATGTTGAAAAAAGTGTGGTCAAGGTCAAACACCTGGTTTCAGACCCTGTCTTTTTCTGTGCCACCATGAGCAGGTTATTTAATTTCCCCAGACCTGAGATTTCTCATCTGCTGATTCAAAATAATACTACTACTAATAATAGTATGTTTAGCTTATAGGGCTTGTGAGGATGACGGTCAAGGACTGCATGTACAGGGGCAGGGCTGGGTACTCCGAAGACATCAGCCTTTCTACTCCTTATCAGCATAATGTGCAGAGGCCTCTTGATTCCTTCCAATAAGTACAGAGACCTCACCCCAGGTAGCCCAAGCAAATGTGGGAAGTGGAGTTATGGCCTGTGAGAGGGCTCGGAGGTGATAGGAATAGGCAATTATAGCTTTTAGTCCCCTCCCTGACTAAAAGGAGGAGTAGCAAGTCACCCCTACTCATTCTTCTCCTAAACCAGTTGGTTCTTCCATGGTTAGACCCAAGCTATCCATACCTAAGAATGACATGATAACATGGCCACTCACTGAAGGAAAACTCCCAGGCCACCAGGCCAAGCCACTCTGTGTCCTTCCGGGTCCAGACCCCCTCCCATAGCAGTCTACTCCTGCACCCTCCCAGGAAACAAATATGGCTGTCTTCTAAAATGCCTCCACCTTCCAGTTCCCAGCTGATGCTGGAAATGTTCTCAGTTCTGGGCAGAGCTTTGGTACCTGCTGCTTCCCCAGTGGGGTGGGGGAAAGGGGAGGCGCCGGCTGCCTCTGCTGCTCAAGCTGGGAGCTCTGATTCCTAGAACAGCGTGTCTCTGAAGATCTAGCTCAGAAAAAACTGGAACAGCTGAGTGGTTCCCCTTCCCCGAGGGGAGAGAAAGCCATCAGAAAGACCACCCCAAGAAACAATATGAGTATCCAACCAGG